GTCAACATCACTTGACCCTCTGCGCAAAATCATTTCACTTAACTTTGTCTACACCAGCAAGCCAACAGTCCCACGTGTCATACAAGAAGTTGAACAACATGGGGGAATGGGCATTGTTTGCTAACTCCATAAAAGGCAATCAATTGATTCAATACTTCTTAAATGGGGACAGTCTTGGATTGACTTTCAAAACGTAATTGCCAATCACGCTTTCTAATAAAATTGGGGTTGTCACACACGCTTTTTTTTTTTTATCATTTTTTTTTATTAAAAATAGAGTCAATAAATTCGTTTTTGACAAAATCGGAGTTAACAATTGAGTTATTTAGAGTGAAACNACATCTAAATCACAAAAAAATAATCTTAGGGCTACAAATTGTCTGTCCTCGAAGTCAAGTCAAAGATACTCTGAACCGCATATTCATGTCAGAAAATTTACGTTTATCATAATTCTAAAATATATAATAGTTAGGAAAATTTAAACCGAGTTTATTACCAATTTATTACACTTTTGAAACAAATTTATTAAATTATGATATTTTTAAATTTATTTATTGATAATTTTTAAAATAAAAAAGGGGCAGTCGCTGTCAGCTTGAAAACACGGTTACTAACTACATTTTTAGTATAAAAGCAAACATTGCACACGTTCTTTTTTTCTCTTTTTTTGGTTGAAAAAATAGGGAGGAGGCAAGAAAGAGTATTTAGCGACCACCCTAATAGATCCTTATTGGTAAGATCATAAAACCTTTGATCACGCCTAAAATCCCTTTCGAGATTAAATTTAATTAAACTAACATATCAATATCAATCGATCACCAAATTCCAATAAACACTTTGAGACTCGAATTCTTAGTCTCGAAGAATAAGGCTGATATCCACCGGACTACCTTAGGTGATCTTTTTCTCTTTACCTGTCAACATCACTTGACCCTCTGCGCAAAATCATTTCACTTAACTTTGTCTACACCAGCAAGCCAACAGTCCCACGTGTCATACAAGAAGTTGAACAACATGGGGGAATGGGCATTGTTTGCTAACTCCATAAAAGGCAATCAATTGATTCAATACTTCTTAAATGGGGACAGTCTTGGATTGACTTTCAAAACGTAATTGCCAATCACGCTTTCTAATAAAATTGGGGTTGTCACACACGCTTTTTTTTTTTTATCATTTTTTTTTATTAAAAATAGAGTCAATAAATTCGTTTTTGACAAAATCGGAGTTAACAATTGAGTTATTTAGAGTGAAACTCTTTTAAAACAAATATACCAAAATACAATATTTTTAAATTTATCTACCAAATTACGACACTTTTTAAAAACGGATTCAATAACTCCACTTTTGTTAAAAAATGAAGTCAATAACTCCTTTTTTGTTCAAAAACAGAATCAACAACATCCACTTTTTAAAAAAAAACAAAGTGGGTAGTGGAAACAAACAAAAGAAAAGCGTGTTTAATAAAAACATTTTTTTACGTTTTTTATGCTCTGTAAACACGTTTTTCATGCTCTGTAAACACGTTTTTCACACAAAAGATCACCATATTAGAGAGAAATGGAACTTGACTATGTTAAATTTGACTTCAAATGTGGGTGATTGTACACGTGTTATATTATCAGGATAAGGTTATAATATCGGTTCGGTATAATACAAAAATTCATTCGCAGCCATTAATTTTAATTTTTTTGAATTGTAATCATCAATTAATAAAGATAAAAAAAAATAGATATTTCTGGTACCATAATTAAATCATACAAAAGGGCTAAAAGTTAGTTGGAAACTTTGTCCAAGGTATTGTGAGAAAGGGCAAAAACAAAAAGGTGAAGACTGCGTATACTTCCATAGTCTTTTAGAACCTAAAAGTTTGTTGTAATGTTCGCCGATGTCTTTGTTCAGAAAAGGATAGAATAAAAAATATTAACAAGAAATTACTATACAAATACATCTAATTGAAAATTAGCTTATTTTTAATAAGAAAGAATTATATTCAGACCCTCTGAAGTTTGTCATTTAATTATTTAGACCCCTGACATTTAAAATATTATATACAGAACCCTTAAAATTTGTACAGACGTAACACTTAGACCCTTACTGTAAATATATTTATTAATAAATCACACTTAGACTACTTTGTATATAATACTTAGACCTCTTAAGTTTAAAATATTATACTTAGACCAAAAATACTCTAATCAAAAATAGAATATAAAATATTTTAAATTTTACAAATAAAATTTTTATTTTATTGTATTATTTATTGAAATAAAATTAAAAATAAAAATTTAATTTTTGCCTTAAAAAATTATAATTAATATTCAATCATACTATCTATTGGAATAAAACTAAAAAATTAAATAAGGGGTCTAAGTCATTCATAATAGAACATAATTTTTTCATCCAAAATTCATGTTCTATTATGTTATTTATTGAAATAAAATCAAAAATAAAAATTTATTTTTTTTAAAAAAAAAATCATAATTAGTATATAATTATACTATCTATTAGAATAAAACTAAAAAATTAAATAAGAGGTCAAACTATAATAGACACAATATCTTTTAACTTGGGGTAGTTTGGTATTTTAATTTTGTTATTTAAACGACCAAGTTAAATTTCAATAGACAATATAATCATATACTAATTATGATTTTAAAAAAAAAATTAAATTTTGATTTTTGATTTTATTTTAATAAAAGAGAATTAGAACATAAATTTTAATCGTAAAATTTAAAATATTTGATATTTTATCTTTAATTGAAATAGTTTTTGTCTAATTATAACATTTTAAACTTAAGTGGTCTAAATAATATATGTTTATAAACTTTAGGGGGTTTGGTTGTAATTTATTAATTGATATGTATATAGTAGGAGTCTAAGTGTTATGCGCGTACAAACTTTAGGGGATTTGTATGTAATATATCAAATATCAGGGGATCTGAGTGATTAAATGATAAATCTCAATAAATTTAAGTGTAATTCTCCCTTTTAATAATTATTTTATAATTTTTCTCAACAATAGATTAGCTATTATATAAGGGCGGATCTTTTACTTACGTATTGGAGGTCCAGTGGTCAAGTCTACTCAAGAAATCTCAAGTTCGATATTTTTTATACTCTTTAAGGGTTAGTCACCCTTGTTCCTTAAATACGTAAACCTGGACATCTCATAGAAATAAAAAAACAAACAAAAAATAATGGGGGATCCCAACTTAAAAAATGTAACAAATATTAAGCATTATCGAATTATAAATGATTTAAAAATTCACATTTGAGTTTTATTAAAAGAGCAATTCTATAAGGCCTTAATTTGGAGATTTAATTAGAGATCTAATTTTATGCAGCCATTAAATTAATTGTAAGCTTCAAAGTTAGATGTAGTTGGCTTTCAAACTAAAGGTTGTATTTAAATTAGCTACTCAAATTAGGTCCTTAAATTGTTTTTAAAATTTACTTATACTTTAATCTCAGTCAAAGAAATAAATTGTGAACCCAAAGAGATAAATTAAGTAGTAACATGAACGAATTGTAAATTCAGACGTTTTAAATTTGAATCTTAGTAGCATCTTAAGGTCACATTACGAGAGATTTATCTCTTATGAATACAAAGGATGTTAATCGAGTCAAGCTTTGTGAGTTTAAGCCTAAATCTGATGAGCTTGTTTTCTAAACGAGTTCAAAAAATTGTTCAAATTTTATTTGTTTACAACTCGAGCCGAACTAAACCCGAATAACTCAACTATTAATTAGTTTAAAAAATTGTTCAAGTTTAGCTCGTTTATAACACAAGTCGAGTTCAAGCCAAATTTTATTTGAGTTGAATCCAAGTAGCTCATCTCGATTAACATCTTTAATGATTATCTTAATTCTCGCGTAGATGATCTATTTTTATTGAACCGATAAAAAAATTAGTTAAAATGTACATAAACTAACCCAAAAATTTTTGACTGTTAAAAAAAAAAGAAAGGAAAAAAAAAATTTCATTAAAATGATCGGTGGTTGTGAGGGGACAAAGAGCATGACAAACAATCTTATTGAATAAAAAATTGATAAATATATGTACCTTGATATTCGAATAAATCGAATCAAATAAAACGGCCCCTTCCCCCACCCCTCGTCTGATGTGAACTTCTCTCTCTCTCTCTCTCTCTCTGGGCTGTTGAAAAAATCCATCTCTCCGAAACCTCTAGATTTGAGCTGAGGCATTCCAATATTCTTGGTTTTCAGGTGATTATTTCAACGCCCTTTTCAGATCTCTAATTATTTCAGCTGAACACCATAAAGTTTGTTTTATTTATTTATATATTCATTCTAGTATGATTAATGATTGCATTGATCTGGAGCTTCTGTTAATGATTACTATGATTCTGTTGCTCATAGACCTCTCATATCGATAAATTGTCAAATTTTATTGCAATTCCTTCATGTATCTTCAATCTCTTAGTATTTATCAATTATTATTATTTTTTGCTATTACTTAGAATATTTATATTTTTCTCTTTCTTTGTTGTTTTTTGTTTGCATTCATTGGTTTAATACCTGTTAATATGTGATGGGTTTATATGGATTACTTGACCGGTCATAGTTTTGTTGTTTGTTTAATTTCTTTTTGGGCCTAATCGTGGTATTCTGTTCTGAAATTGAACTTAGAAACATTTGCATTTTGATCTTTCTCTACGTAGTTTTTGCTGTGTTTTGAATTTCATCAAAGCAACTGTGTGATGTTATTTTGTTTTTCTTGGAAGTTTTTGTTTCTGATACCTTAAATGGGAACAGAGGCTATATGGTTTTTTTTTTTCGGAAAGTGTGTTTTTTTTTTTGTTTGAAAGGTTATGTAGTTTCTTTATTTTTTTTCTTTTTTAATGCTCCATGGTGATTCTTGGAGCTTCAGTTTATGATACATGTCTCTATTCTGCATACTTTGACCTTGATGGTTCGTTCTGTGTAGACCATTGATAAGGACAACTTTTGTTGGATGATTGTTGTTTTTAAGAAAAGCAATGAGCTACCATCCATCCGCGCTTGGGAGACCAACATCAGGTATGCTTGTAGTACCTCACTGAATTGCCCTGTAGTATTTTACTAATATCTATGGTGGTAGTTTGACAAACTTCTGTTGTATTAGTTCTATGCCGTAATGGTCCATTTCCTAGGTCCATATCAATCCCTCCCTCCAACCCACTTAAGCGGGATTGACACCAAGCAATGGCTAGTACCCTACCATGCTTTTGTGTGTTCTGCATGAAATATGACTGGGCAGGTCTTTGACCAAGAGATAGGTTGGGGATAGAATAAGATATAAAATCATGAATTGGCAACATTACTTTTGTTAGTCAAGTGTCACATAATGTTCATGATGAACTGGAAACCCAGTAAGGAGAGTATGTGCAACCTTGCTGTTGTAGAATATCTGAGTTTACGATTGTAGACTGCTGTGCGATCGCACTTATCAATTAGAGGGGCCCATGTAATTCAGACGTCTATCTAAAAGTTATACTCTTATGCATATTCACTATTGCTTCTTGAATCCAGTGCTGCAGAAATGGGACATGCAGAGTAGTCTCATGCATTTCTCCATGTAATTCCACATATGAGTATGCCATTCTGGAACAAAGCCATAAAGTTTTGGTGAATTTAAAATAATCTAATCTGGTAATAGCCAAATTCCCATTTCCCGCTGTTAGGAAAAAGAAATGAGGAGACCGAGGAAACAGAAAGGGTAAGAAGTTTAACTTCAAATTAAAACCCATCTAGTTCCATAACCAAACTTGAATCGGTGCCAAATAGATTAGCTAACCAAAGTTCAAATTTATGCGTGAGGAGGGTTTGGTGCTGTTGATATAATCAGTTTTGATGGGTTCTCCTGATGCTGTTGATATAATCAGCTTTGATGGGTTTGGTGTGCTNCTAACCAAAGTTCAAATTTATGCGTGAGGAGGGTTTGGTGCTGTTGATATAATCAGCTTTGATGGGTTTGGTGTGGTGGAAGGAAGATAAATGAGACTGTCTGCCAACGGGATTCCATTGTTTTCTCTATGAATCACTTGGAAAATATTTATGAAGCTATATATTATTCCTTGCACAATGCATGAGATTTTTTTGAAATTGCATATACACAGATTATTTGACTGATAATCTATTTGGATGGCTCTATAACATTATAACAATGAATCCACAACTTCCCCTGCTTCCTGCAATTTATTATTTATGAATAATTTATTTTGATAGTTGGAATGATGAGTGCTAACCATGTAGGTAAAAGGAGATTAAAAGATCTATTGCTTCAAAGTGACAATCGTGTTTGCGCTGATTGTGGTGCTCTGGACCCCAAATGGGCGTAAGTAACACCACCCAGATGCCTGTATTATATTTGTTATTGAACTTTTTCATAGACTCATAGTCAAACTTTGCATCTTCATTATTTTACTTATGATTTACGTATAACGTGGAATGGTGTGGGAATACAAAGTGGCAAGTAGGATTTGATCCACTTAAGTTGTATTGGTGCACGCAAATTCTTTGAACCATTCCTCTATCTGTCAATTGTTTATAAGCGCAAAGTGAATTTCCTTGAGGGTAATATGCTGATCGTTTAGTTGTGGTTGCTTAGATACTAATAGTGATAACTGCATAGAAGGACTACAATCAGGTGTATTAGATTAAAATCATTAGGAGATTGGAATGGTAGGGAAATTTTGTTTTTTTTAATTAATTTTAGAAGTAGGAGCACAAAGAAGGAAATAGAGGAGGCTCGTGACTATGTGCTCTCTAAGGGAGGAAGTGGTAGCCTTGTATTGATCATTTATGTCACTGGAAGATTGAAGGAAACGCGATTCCAAAAACTGGAGTGTGTATACAGAATGGTAAGATGGCTTAGAGTTGATTGAGAAGGGTCGGAGATAATTATCCTCACTATTTCCATAACTACTTGTTGTTCGATTATACAACTGATGTAGATCGTATTAGTTCTGATACCAAATTGATGTAGTTCGTATTAGGGAGGAATTAGGGATGAGAAAGGGAAGAAGAAAGGGATGAGAAGAGAAGAAGAAGGGGATGAGAATGGAGAGAGAATTTGAGGAAGAAGCAATATCAGGATTCAATATCAATAATCAATAATTAAAGTTTAGTCTCACAACAAATATGTATCCCTTTTATATATAAGGAGTTCACAAATCCTATATATATAAGGAGATCACAAACCTTAAAATAAATAAATAATAAAAATGACAACTAAATTTTTAAAAGTTAAAAGAAATTACTTAAAAGATAAATATTAAAAGTATCTAAATAACTATTATAATTAATTTATAATATCTATCCAATTCCTACGCAATTCCCATTATTCTCCTCCGATTGAAAAAAACTCTCCTCCAGAGAGTCTTCAAAGTAGAAGTACCCTAAGAGAGCATGATGAATATGATATAATGCCTTATCTAGAATAAAAGAACCATCAATATCTTTTCATTGATCAAAACAAATGCAAGAATCTCCATCTGTAGTAATGTAAATCTGGTCACGTAGCACATCATTTATTTGCCCCGAAATACACGATGAAAGTGAAAAGATAAAAACTGGAGTTAATGTTGAGGAAGTAGCAATTCCACCTGTAGAAACACCTGACAACAAAATAGAAGGCTTTGGAGTACCTCGATTAAGTAGCATGTTCTCAAAATAAAAATCTGGACTATTACTAATATTTAATGAAAAATTAAGCAAATAAGCATTAGATACAAACTCGAGCATAGCAAAGTAATTCTCATTAAGTTTCAACACAAGGCATTCAGTGGAACAAGACATCAATGACAAATGAGTAACTATAACACCCTGGTGCTGAAAATAAGAAAGTACAGACTCAATTGAACACTTGACAGTAGGCAAAGAATCCAAGTTAACACTTCAAGTGGGACAGAATCCAAAACAATATCAACAATTTCAGGATGGGAAGAATCTGTAACAAAGTCATGATGACTTGGACAAGTAGACACATAATACTCACTAGTAGCAATAAATGACTCAATTGACATAATATCTTGCAAAGGTGTAAACTCAACAGACTTTTTCACAATTTTTAAGACCAATGATGGTTTAAGAATTGACACAAGCAAAAACTCACACGCACTTTCTTTCGATATGAACTCTTGTGGGTGCAAAGGAGGAGGACTCTGATTTGATGAAATTGAATGAGGGAGTTAGAAGTTAATGAGTAACATTTTTCTCTTTATCTGATACTGGCGTATCTAAATCTTTTGCCACATTCGGATTAGGAAAGCATGCAGAAACAACATGAACATCGTTTAAGTAATTATGATACTCATATGTGGTAGAATTAAAATTAGAAGATGTCCTATCAGCAGGCTGTGATTAAGAACCCATCAAGCTATAGTTGGATTTCTTATGAAATCTCTCAACGTTTAGAGCATATTGATAGGTTGCAACTACCGTATTAAAAGTGTATTGCTTGAACTCCCTACTAATTTTTTGTTTCAACTCAAGAATAAACTGATCAATTGTCCAAGTTTCTTCGATAATGTCACACAAGTACATGAGATAATCAAATTGGGCAAAGTAATGAGAGAAACTAGAAGAATGTTGTATAAGGTTGTGCCATTGGCCATGAACTTGATCCATGTAGGAAGTAGGTAAATACTTCTCTTTCAATTTATATCTCATTTCAACCCAAGTGATAGGTGATTCTCTTAAGGGGTCTAAACTTCTTTAAATTGCTTGTCAATACTTCTTGGCAGAATCCTACAGCATCAATTTAGCAAAATGGACGCAATTGGAGTCTGACATGTCATGCCAATCAAAATATTTTTCTAAATTAGCTAACCAATCCATGAATTCAAAAGGATTTAAAGTGCCACTAAATATAGAAGGATCTATGACTAGTGTGGACTTCCAATGATGATGACCTCGACGAGAGACTCTTGAAACATGTACATTAGAGGAACTCATGAGTAACTTTTGAAAGATGAGAATGATATAAAAACAAATTTAAGAATGCAATTGACAATTTCAAGAAAGTTTAAATAAAAGAAAATGTGTTTTGGACCCTTTGCAAATTCTCTAATTTTTCAATGAATAAAAATATTAATCTCAAATTCTGTGAGAGTATGCATACCATAATTTTCATGAAATTCTGAAATTTTTTGGGACTGATTCTGTAATTTTATAGAACTGTTGGGGATGTTTCTGTAATTCTAGAACTTCTGGGGGTGGTTGTGTAACTTTTGAAACTTTTTGGGGTGTTTCTGTAATTTCTAAAATTGCTAGACAATTCTCTTTTTTTTTTTTTTGGCTGGGTTTTTTTGTCCCACTGCTTATGACGATAAATAGTGTTTTTCGATGAACAGTGAATAGTCATGATGAATAGTAATTTTTTTTTTTAATTTGTATGAATCGAAATTGGGCTCTAATACCAAATTGTTGTAAATCGTATTAGCTCTGATATCATATAGATGTAGACTGTATTAGGGACGAATTAGGAATGAGAAATGGAAGAAAAAGGGGATGAGAATAGAGAGAGAATTTGAGGAAGAAGTAATATCAAGATTCAATATCAATAATCAAAGTCTAGTCTCACAACAAATATATATCCCCTATATATATAAGAAGTTCACAAATCCTATATATATAAGGAGTTTACAAACTCTAAAATAAATAAATAATCAAAATAATAACTAAACCCTTAAAAGTTAAAAGAAATTTCTTAAAAGATAAATATTAAAAGTATTTAAATATCTATTATAATTAATCTATTAATATCTATCCAATTCTTACACGATCCCCATCAACAACTTATTATATAGTGGGTACCAAATGTCTATCGCCTGTGTCGGTGTTTTTCAATGACAAGAAACATAGTCACAGTCTGATTAGAAAAGAAATGAGTACAAAACAAAGGTCCTATTTACATGGCCTATTATAATGTCTCAACCAAATGATGCATAAATATGATTTTTTCTATGTATTTCTTGTTGGTGTTTAAAGGGTAGAATTGCTTTCTTTTTCTTTTTTGCCTGTCTCCTTTATTTGTTGGCTTCCTTTAAATGGTTATTCAACAAATAAATGGTACATTTCATTTTCAGGTCTGCCAATATTGGAGTTTTCATATGCTTAAAATGTTGTGGTGTGCATCGAAGCCTTGGTACACATGTATCAAAGGTAACTGCTCTAGAGAGAAATCTCTCTCCCTCTCTCTCTCTCTCTCTCTCCACACATGCAAACACACACACACACACACAAAGGAATTGTGGCAGAAAAGCACATGAGGATGTTGTGTACATCTAGCAACATGTATCAAATTTGAATAAAAGCAATGAAATGTCATCTTGCCATTTACTTGTTTCTTTTTCTTTGAAGTTTGAAGTTTGAAGTTTGAAGTTTTCTAATTCCCATCTGAATTCTTTTTATGTTGCATTTAGATGCATGGATTTAGTTTTCCACAGGGAAACAATTTTGTGTATCAAACTGGAGCCACTTGGGTATAAGGAGGAATGCTTGGACATATGCATCCCATGTTTGCATAGACAATCGGCTTAGTTTGTATGGTAGTAAAATGTTTGGCCAAAAGGAATATCGAATAGTATACTTTGAAGCTTCCATCTACACGTGGTCTATTTTTCATATTTTTTTTTGAGCTCTAGGTTTAATTTCATGCGCCTTATTGAGCTCTAACTATGAAAGACAAGTCCACAGTATGATGAGAAAAACATATTTGGAGTTGAATCAAACTTTTTTTTCCCCTCTATCAAACGGATCAAAATTGTTCTTTAACAACCTCTATTTTTACTTTTTTTTTTTGCACGAATTGTTCCAAGGGGGAACGAGAGAATTAAAAAATGAATATAATTCGTGAAACCATAAAATAAGAGGTAATCGACTTAGATTTTTGGACATATTTATAGATGATGACCAAGTAGTGCACAAGTGAGGAAAAATGATTGGATACATGTCGATGATAATGCAAGAGGTATATGTAGGACGAAATTTACTTGGATCGCAGTTGTGAAAACATATGATAGCTCACAATTTAAAGAAAACTATGGTCCTTGATAGAGTAAAATGGATAAACATGATTCATGTCACCAACCCTAAATAGTTGGGATAAAGGCTGAGTTGAGTTGAGCTAAATTGTTCAAAAGACATAATGGAATTGTCGATCGATGAAAGCCCCATATACTGGTAGTTATTATGATCCTAGTGCTTCGAAGTGTATGGTTTCCCTTAAACCAATTAGGATGCATAAAGTTCAATAAAGGATGAAATCTAACTTTTTAGAGTGACACATAAAAGTACGTGATTGTTTTAGATTTAGCATGCGAACATCTCATCATCTAACACAATACCAATTGGCAATGGGTGGAGTGGCCCCTCAAGAATAATTTTTTTTTTTGGGGAGGGAGGAAAGAGGAAGGGGGCTTGAACCCTTGATCTCAAGAAGGTAAGGTTTTCACAAGGTAAGGAGTACCATTGGAATATAAACCAACTTTGGTGGTGCTAATTATCGATGTGGCGTTCTCTTAACACCCTCCCTTACGTGGGACTTGAGCTTGCATGTGGGGTCAACAGAAAAACAACTATTTATGCTTGGAAATTCAAATAGATAAGATATTCGTCTCTTTTGTATTAGGATAAGCTGGAAAACATCATGTGCCTTATTGTTTTGATTGTTTTACTAGGCATGTTTTCTTGTAATTTTTCTTTTGATTATTAATAAAATGTTGTTATTGAAAAAATTGGTAAGTACTGACCGCCATGGGCTAATGCTATGTTAAAGCATCCAACCCACAACCAATTGGCAATGGGTGGAGTGACCCCTTTAGCATATAAACAACCTTGGTGGCCCTAATTATTAATCACAAAGCTCGGTTCCTATCTTGGCCAAAGATTGTTTATGATCCTCTCACATCTCATCCTTTAACCAATAGTTTTTTGTACGCTAAGTCTATTTAATACGGCCCTACTTTTTCTTTTTGACTTTTCTCTTCCCAGCATGGATGGAATGAATGTTGACTTGCTCTTTTAAAGCTAAAGTTTTTGGCTTTTGTCCTCACATTTCTATCTTATGACTATACAACTTCCTGAGCAATCTTAATTCAATTATGCAGGTTTTGTCCGTGACATTAGATGAATGGTCTGATGATGAAGTTGATGCTATGGTTGAGGTTGGAGGAAATGCTTGTGCAAATTCTATTTATGAGGCTTATTTTCCTGATGGTGTATCAAAGCCTAAACCAGATTCTAGTCATGAGGAGCGAGCGAAATTTATCAGGTTGGATGAAATGTAACAATATTAGTTAGTTGTAGTAAACTTGATACAAGCTCTTTGAGTAGTGGTATGAAATTACAGCAGCTTACTAGCTATTTTTTCCTCTGGCCTCTCAACTATGAAATTTCCCAGTTTTCGTTGTTGTAATCAACTATAAAATGATCCTATCTTTCCTGTTATAATAAATCAAAAGGACCTTGTCTTTGAAGGTTGGACAGTGCACATAGCTCCTTCTTTTAGCGAGATCTAGGAAAGGTAAATGGTTGGCAATTTTACACCATAAACTAAAAGGATTTTATCTTTCCTTAAATTCTTGGACTTGTATGCCACATTTGAGAGGTGACTAGCAAAATAACAATTTGGATTTGTTGAATGGTTGACTCTATTTATAAATACATGGGGAAACAGTTAAGGGACTTAGATTGTCTGTTTTTTTTTTTTTTTGGAAACTAGGTACTTAGATTGTAATTTATGTCATTTACACATTTATTTTGTAGGTCCAAGTATGAGCTTCAAGATTTTTTGAAGCCCAGCTTGCGAATTTTGTCAGCTACCTCAAGAAAAAGCTCTCTCCAATCTTCTTTATCCAGGAAGATTATGGATAGTTTTCGAAGTTCTAGTTCGCAGCAATCGGTAAATATTTTTAACTTGTTTTTGCCACAATGACAACACTCGTCATTTCAAGGATTAGGATTTGTAGTCACATAGTTTGGAATATGGTGGATAAAATTATTTAATGATATACAACCATTATAAGAATATATTTTAATGGTTTGGTATAACAACATCATTGACACCATGTTACTTTTTCTGGTTTATGGCTGCTTCTTTGAATCACTTCTGTCCAGCTGATGTTAAACTGATCACAGGAAGGCATGGTGGAATTTATTGGTTTATTGAAGGTCAAAGTAATAAAAGGCATGAATTTAGCTATCCGTGATATGCTGTCTAGTGATCCTTATGTTATCCTGAATCTTGGACAGCAGGTTAGTCATTCTCTGTTTCATTGGGGATGAACATTGGGGTTGGGACTGACTTCCACATCTTTGATGTATTCGTTGTCCAACTCATGCATTTTAACAAAAACAAAAAGATAAATCGTGGCAATGATTTTCTTTCTCCATCAAGTAAATGATATCATTTATCACTTTGGACTAGGATAAATCTTCTCTCTCACACTCGATCTTACTGTGATTAGAAGGCCCAAACGAAGATAATAAAGAGCAACCTGAATCCAGTCTGGAATGAAGAACTCATGCTTTCTGTCCCTCAGGATTTTGGGCCTTTAAAACTGGTAATCCAATCTTCCTTGCGCGCTTAATATGCAGATGATACTTTCTTCCCTTTTTTCTTGGTTTTTCGTCTAAGATTTTAATTCCTATGATTTTTCAATATGTTACTGACCATGACATGCCACGTTCTAACTTAGTTTAGTGGTATACATGAAAGCATTTTTTATGACTTCTTTCTTGGTGTTTTGCTCTTCTAGCTTTGCTGCCAAAACATGTATATAGCCTGAAGGTGGTGACAATGCTCATCATCCACACCCATGGTTCTTAGTTAGCATTATCAAATATTTCTTGCCTCCTTATTTAAATTTGCGGTTTTCCCAAACTGAAACTGGCACTTTACAAATATTTGTCCAGTGTACGATGGGTCATCAAAATTGCAAAATTCATCAAGATCATTGGAGTGATAATAACAGGAAGAAAGGCATACACTTATCTTTAGTATTACCATCTCTTACTCAAATTTAGGCTAGGTCAATGATCACAGTGAAATGCTGTTTGATACATCTACTAATGGTGGATTTAGGGAAGTTGTAGGTGCAGCCAGAGGTGGATTTATGCTTACACTTCAGCCAAGTTATACCTAAAGAAACTGGCATAACTTGTGTACGTGAACTTCTTAAGCTCAACAAGTAAATGTCTCAGTTACAACCTTAGCCTGTCCTATATTTGGAAGACCAAATGGGATAGCTTTTTTGAGAACATATTTTTCTAGTTCAACATTTTTGGAACATCTACATTGTTTATTCTCTTCCTTAAATTGCACCAAACAATAGCATGTGAAACATCTTACAAAACAATTTCCTATGCCCTTATTGTTGACTATGATCCACCAATTTACAATTAAAACGCAAGCTGACGAGGCAACAACCAAATCAGAAATAAGAGAAGATGAAAGTCCACATGTCTCATGCCATCACAATATGAAGAGCCATTGGTTGACCAATCCCTTCCAATTTGTTACCTGATTTATTTATTATAAATCAACTAATCGCTGGTTATTATGGTCTACTGTACAAATTGTCATGTTTTTCCACTAGCAAGTCATCCTCTTCTTAATTTGCCAATCCATGTAGAATGCTTAATTTCTTTCATCCAATCCACTATGCCCTTGTACGCTCAACCTAACTATTCCCCACGGAATCACGAAACGAACTTAAGGATTTCAAACTCTATCACTAGAATTTCTATCACACATAGCATTCCATTCGATCTTCTCCCCTTTGCACACTACACTATCGTTTGGCCAAACATTTCCAAATACCAACAACATTGACTAGTGTGAGATATATTTCCTAGACGAGTCTCTGGAAATTGGCCATGATTTCAAGATCTATTTAGCCACTCCATGAACTTGTAGCCTTGCCTCTCCAACAAATTTGCTTAAGATTGATGATGGCTTTTTGAAGTCCTAATCATCGCAGCACTTCAGTTCACTTGACCATTAGCCACGGTTCTCTAACATCCAACTAAACTCTTTGATGTAGATCGTAGTAAAGAAGAATTAGGGATTAGAAGGGAAGAAGAAGGAGATGAGGACAGAGAGAGAATTTGACAAAGAAGGATTCAATATCAATAATCAATAATAATCAAAGNGTAGTAAAGAAGAATTAGGGATTAGAAGGGAAGAAGAAGGAGATGAGAACAGAGAGAGAATTTGACAAAGAAGGATTCAATATCAATAATCAATAATAATCAAAGTCTAATCTAAATAAAACCCTTATATGCATCCCTTTATATAGAAAAATTAAAACCCTAAAGCAAATAAATAATGACAAATAAATTCTCATAAGTTAAAAGATAAATATTAAAAATATCTAAATAACTATCATAATTAATTTATAATATCTATCTAATTCCTACATGATTCCCATCATTCTCTTCCAGTGAAGAAAAACTCTCTTCCGGAGAGTCTTCAAAGTAGAAGTACCCTACAAGAGCAGAACGACGATGACAGAATGTTTCATCTATAATGAAAGAACCATCAATACCTTTCCATCGAGTAGAATAAATGCAACAATCTCCATCTGTAGCAATGTAAATCTAGTCACGTAACACATCATCTATTTGACTTGAAATATGCGATGAAAGTGGAAAGATAAGAGTTGAAGCTAGTGCTGAGGAAGAAGCAATTTCACTTGTAGAAACACTGGATAACAAAATGGGAGGTTCTGGAGTACCTCGATTAAGTAGCATGTCCTCTTCAAAATAAAAATCTGGACTAATACTAACATTAATAAAAAATTAAGCAAATAAGCATTAGATCCAAATTTAAGAATAGCAAAATAATTCTCATTAGGTTGAAACAAAAAGTATTGAATGAGACAAGATATTGATGAAAAAAGAGTAACTAATGTCCTGGGGCTGAAAATAAGAAAGTATAGACTCAATTGAACACTTGACAATAGACAAAGAATCNAGACAAGATATTGATGAAAAAAGAGTAACTAATGTCCTGGGGCTGAAAATAAGAAAGTATAGACTCAATTGAACACTTGACAATAGACAAAGAATCAAAGTTAACACTCTCAAGTGGGGCAGAATCCAAAATAATGTCAATAATCTCAAGTGGAGAAGAATCCGAAACAAAATCAACAATCTCATATGAAGAAGAATCCACAACAATGCCATCATGATTCGGAATAGTAGAAACAGAATAATCCTGAACATATTCTAAAATAGATAACTCAATATGTTCAACATTTTGCATAGGAATCAACTGAATGAATTTTTTTTCAAGTTCAGTGCTTAGTGATGATTCAACTTTTGGCTTCGATGAGGTAGAAAGTATGATAGGATCAAACATAATCTCATCACTAGTATCAATGTTCAAACGATTAAAAGTTTGTTTTGAAGGATAGAAAACATGAGGGTCCAACGGAACAGAAATATGACTATCATTATGTCGGTGTTCGACATTTGGTGAAACTGGAGACTTGTCCTTATTTTCTTCTATTCGTTGACTTACAAGAATTTTAGTCAAGTGGGAAAGTTGAGTTGTTAATTAAGATAATTTGTTTTTCATCCCTCTACACTCTTCACATAATTGACCAAGTAAATGCTTAGTATTGGCAACTGCAATTTCAAAGATCTCAACATTTTTCTTTAGGGTAGTTTGGGCTTTTGAATGGTCACTAATGACATTGAAGATAGATCCAAATTGACTTTGATGATGACTTTGGGAAGCATGACGTTGGTAACTGTTATGTGACCTAACTGCTCCAAAGTAGTCTTCTAGATAATCTTTATAATAAAATTCAAACTTACTATGAACTTTATAATGACTCCGAGAAACTCTAGAAGTAGTATAGTGATAACGTTGTGGAGAACTATGAACTTGAAATATTCTTGATATTGGATAAGTATATGAATAGGCATCATAATGATCATATGAACTTATGATTGACTTTGAAAGATGAGAATAACATAAGAATGGATTCAAAAATGCAATTAATAATTACAAGAAGTGAGAAAACATAAATAGAAGAAAATGTGTTTTGGACCCTTTGCAAATTCTCTAATTTTTCAATGAATAAAAATATTAGTCTCAAATTCTATGGAAGTATGCATACCATAATCAAGAGGAAATTTTGAAACTTTTTGGGGATGATTCTGTAATTTTTGAAACTTTTGGGGTGATACTTATGTAATTTTATAGAATTTATAGGAGTGATTCTGTAATTTTTTGAATTTGTTGGGGATGTTTTTGCAATTCTGAAACTTCTGGATGGTATTTTATAATTTGTTGAAACTTATAGGGTGTTTTTGTTAAGTACAAGAGGCAGCGATGACCGGTCNTTTGTAATTTTTTGGATTTGTTGGGGATGTTTCTGCAATTCTGAAACTTCTGGATGATATTTTATAATTTGTTGAAACTTATAGGGTGTTTTTGTTAAGTACAAGAGGCAGCGATCGATCCTGAGTCGATAAGAGCAACGACAGTGGTGACCAGTCAATGATGAACAGTGCGTGTGAACGGTGCGCACGATAAAATCAATCTTGAGTCGATAAGACCAAAAACAATGTGCGTGAGCAGTATTGCTGTGATTTTGACGAACAACTTTTTTTTTTTTTTTCAATGAACAGTGTTGTTGAGATTTTTGTGATTTGTAGAAATCGAAGTTGAGCTCTAATACTAAATTGATGTAGATCGTAGTAAGAAAGAATTAGGGATGAGAAGAGAAGAAGAAGGGGATGAGAAAAGAAGAAGAGGATGAGGATAAAGAGAGAATTTGAGGAAGACGGATTCAATATCAATAATCAATAATAATCGAACTCTAATCTAAATAAAACCCTTACATGCATCTTATTATATAAAGAAACTAAAATTCTAAAATAAATAAATAATGACAAATAAATCCTCATAAGTAAAAAGAAATTACTTAAAAGATATCTAAATAACTATCATAATTAATTTATAATATCTATTCAATTCCTACACGATCCCCATCACTCTTCACCAACTTTTTCCATCAGATGAAGAAAACCACCAACCCAAGTGATCTTGTTTCGTGATTGGAATTCAGCAAGTGATAGACAATGTGAATATGTCTCATATACGTAATTGTAGTCATTGCTCAAGTAATTATTATTGATCATCGACCATGTTGCAATAGGCATATGGTTCTAAGCCTAAAACATTCATGAAAACTTTCCTAGAGCCGACTTGTAGTTCCATATGTGCATAGTCAGTTTTTTTTTTTTTTTGGAAACTCATTAATGAATGAAGAAATGAATTAATTTATGATCACATAAATACTGAATGTAACTGGTCCTCTGTGTGATTTGTAAATTGTCAAATCCTATGATTATTATGCATAATCTGTCAATTTTTATCTAATCTTTTGAGACCATTTGGTATATTTCTATGTTTACTGGATTATGTCATCAGACTTGCATCTAACCGTAGATCTTTCTGCCCCTGCAGCAAGTTTTCGACTATGATACATTTAGTGCGGATGACATAATGGGGGAAGCTGAGATTGATATCCAGCCAATGATAGCCTCTGCAATGGCATTCGGAGATGCTGGAATGTTTGGAGACATGCAAATCGGAAAATGGCTAAAATCACATGACAATGCCCTGCTAGAAGATAGTACCGTAAACATTGTTGATGGGAAGGTAAAACAGGCGGTATCACTTAAACTCCAGAATGTAGAATCTGGGGAAATATATCTAGAACTGGAGTGGATGCCTCTTGAACAGTAGGTGTATATAATTTTTTGCCGCTCTGATTTTGCATTCAACAATAAATGTGAGGTTGTACAAGTTATTTAGATGGAATTGCACCATATGTATTTGATTTTTGGACACAGAATTTCACCATATACACTGTTGCTTCTTTTGTATTTTCCCAATTCAATTTCACTTTTCTTTCTTTTGTAATTCTGAACGCATGACAGACGATACTAAACGTTACCATTGTGTAAATCTACTCATTATGAAATTGAGATCAGTTTGTTGGAAATCTTGATTCAGTGTGGTACCTGACATTAAATTGATGCCATGTCGAGCTCAAAGAATTTAAGGTACACTATAAGGAGTTCGTCCACTAATGAAGGGGGATTTTTTTGGGGTGAGGGTTATTTTAGGTTGCAAATTCTGAAGGCAGAAGAAACTCTATAATGATCCTCCTGATTAGAGATGGTGTCCCTCAGCCTCCCATTTTTTTTTTGTTTTAATCATCTTCCTATTTATGGTTGATAATCGAGTCGAATTACTTGAGCTCGGTTCGGATTTGACTCGCTTAGGATTTGACTCAAAGTTGACTCGTGTTTTAAATGAATCAAGTTTGAATAATTTTATAGACTTATTTAAAAAAACGAGTCTAACGTGCTCTTTTATATATAAAGTAGTCAAATTACTTAGGTTCAGCTTGTTTTAAACTTAGCTCGGGCTCAACTCATTTTCTAAATAAGCTGAACTTGAACAATTTTTTTGGCTTATTTAAAAAAATGAGCTTGACAGACTCGGTTTGAGTTCATAAAATTTGGCTCGATTATCACCCCCATTCTTAATACTTTCCTTTCCTTCTATATGGAAAAGCAAATTGAGTCTAGTTTTCTAATGATGGTCCTCGGAATGTATTAACCCAAGTTCAGAACTGAGATCTAAGTCGAAGAACTAAGGCTAAGTCCACTGTAGGGGAGTCTCTTGATCTTGGGGGTTGTATGCTGCACAGGATGATTTTCTGCAATGAATAGAGATAACGACCCTCTCGATGATGAACCTGATACAATCAAGAGATTAGGAAAAGGGGCCGGGTGAACACCCAGCTTATCCCCTCCGAAGTTTAAGTCAATAGGCATTGGAGACTTTAGCATAGTATTTTCATTTTCAATTTAGTTTTGCGTACCTTTGTTCATTTTTCTGAGGAGTATTTATACCTGGACTAGCAATAAGTACAAGGGTTTGGAGTCCTATCTCAACATTTAATTGCTTGCACTCTTATCCATGCACAATGAATGCTCTTCACTCAGATTCTTATGACTAGTCACTCGGGCGATGGGATAACTGCTCGGGGCATGCCGAGCACTTATGACCCTATCTCCGGTCATTTAAGCCCATTTGGTCGACACTTGACACCTATTCCCGAATGTTTAATGTTCGGGGGAATAGTACCTCGGGGTTTCTTGAGGACATCTGGTCGGTGCAATGACAGTTAATGCTTTGTAATTATGACTGTCAGTTTGGGTCTCGAGGATGCAGAGTTTTATTAATAATCATGTCACAGTCACTCAACTCCTTATAAATGAGCTGTCTTTAAATGCCAGTCCCAGCTGGTGTACTCGGTTTCTCTGAGCCATTATTCTTCGGCGCTATCTCTCGGCTCCTTTTGAACTCCATCGCGACTATATTTATCCACGTGTCAGTTTGAGGGTTGCTGAGCCAAGCTTATTTATCTTGAGCTAACCTCCAATTGAGCTGGATTATGGTTAGGCTGGACTTTAAACCTTCTCGTACTATTGGACTCCCCCTTTTGGGCGTAGTTTATCTTACTCTTGTCATGGGCATGCTGTGATCCATTTGGGCCAATGTGCATGTAGGGGCCTCTTGGACTTTATTGTGCTTTTGATTATGGTGATTCATACTCAAAATTCCATCATTATCATCTAACAAGTACACAGTTAAAACGGATATAATGTTGTTAAACCAATTTTAAAGGGAATTGAGTCAATTAGCCGCAATTTTCTAAGCATATTATGGAATCCACTTCCACCTTCCGGAATGTTTTAGGAAATCCTAAAATGGGATTGCGGTAGATTGTGGAAACTTTTTTTGAAGGAGAAGTCTAGGCATACAATAGATCGATGACACTTGCACAAATCATACCCATTCAATGTAATGCCAATTACCATTGGTCTAAAGGTTGGATAAAATAAAAGCTTAAATGGACATGTTGTTTAATCCAATCCCATATAAATAGTTATTTAGTCTGTTGGTTAGTTTATTCATTTTGTGGAATAAGTAAACCCAGTGAAACAACATTCAATTCTTGTTTGGTGTACCAATTTTCAATGGGACTACACCTGGTTGAGCTTGTTTGCAATGATATTTAGAACATTTTTTTTTTGTCTTGGAAAACTAGTGTAACAGCGCAAAATAGGGTGGAAGTTTTATGAGTCATGAGGGAATTTTGAAGGAATATGAAGATAAATGATAAAAGTAATTTGGTTCGCAATAGTATTCAATTTCGTCGTAGTTGCAAAGAATAATATTCTTGAATATTTCATATTTATACTCTATTTGATTTGCGGGTTCTTATTTTTGAGATTTCATCGAATTTGTGCTATAAATGGGGTATATTTGATATAAAAATCATGTTTTGTATGGATGGGGTAGGTAGATGCCTTGGCCATTGCGAGGATGCATAGAATTTGTACGACCTAGATCTTACTTGACATGGATATGCATTGATGTATGACTATATGATTCTTGTTGATTGAGCTTTTCTAATTTGATTTCGTATCACAAATTTGATTCTATACTTTTGTTCTACTAAACATATTATTCCCTATCATATTATATACTTTCCCGTTATATTTATTTTTCAAATTGACCTAAGAAGAAAGGATCGAGATTGGAATAATCAAAGAATTCAAGATAATTGAAGATTTATAATTTGATCAAAATTCTTGTATTAGTTGATTTGTTAACATTNTGTCGAGCTCAAAGAATTTAAGGTACACTATAAGGAGTTCGTCCACTAATGAAGGAGGATTTTTTTTTGGGGTGGGGGTTATTTTAGGTTGCAAATTCTGAAGGCAGAAGAAACTCTATTTATGATCCTCCTGATAAGAGATGGTGTCCCTCAGCCTTCCATTTTTTTTTTCGTTTTAATCATCTTCCTATTTATGGTTGATAATTGAGTCGAATTACTCGAGTTCGGTTCGGATTTGACTTGCATAGGATTTGACTCAAAGTTGACTCATGTTTTAAATGAGTCAAGTTTGAATAATTTTATACTCATTTAGAAAAACGAGTCTAACAAGCTCTTTTATATATAAAGTAGTCGAATTACTCAGGTTCGGCTTATTTTATGCTTAGCTCAGGTCGACTCATTTTCTAAACAAGTCGACCTTGAACAATTTTTTAGGTTTATTTAAAAAAATGAGCTTGATAGACTCGGTTCGAGCTCATAAAGTTTGACTCGATTATCTCCTCTATTCTTAATACTTTTCTTCCCTTCTATATGGAAAAGCAAATTGAGTCTAGTTTTCTAATGATGGTCCTCGGAATGTATTAACCCAAGTTCAGAACTGAGATCTTAGTCGAAGAACTAAGGCTAAGTCCACTGTAGGGGAGTCTCTTGATCTTGGGGGTTGTATGCTGCACGGGATGTTTTTCTGCAATGAATAAAGATAACGACCCTCTCGATGATGAACTTGATACAATCAAGAGATTAGGAAAAGGGGCTGGGTGAACATCCAGCTTATCCCCTCCGAAGCTTAAGTCAATAGGCATTGGAGGCTTTAGCATAGTATTTTCATTTTCAGTTTAGTTTTGCGTACCTTTGTTCATTTTTCTGAGGAGTATTTATACCTGGACTAGCANTTTGATTTTTTGGGACATTTTGGAATTGAGACCTCAACTTCAAAATTAAAGATTATCGAATCAGAAAACATAGATTATCAAATCAGAAACACTTTGAGATACAGGATGTAGACAATATGCAATTCCTAAATCTATTTGCAAAGAATAATATTCTTGAATATTTCATATTTATACTCTATTTGATTTGCGGGTNTAATAAATGCTCTTCACTCAAATTCTTATGACTAGTCACTCGGGCGATGGGATGATTGCTCGGGGCATGCCGAGCACTTATGACCCTATCTCCGGTCATTTAAGTCCATTTGGTCGACACTTGACACCTATTCCCGAATGTTTAATGTTCGGGGGAATAGTACCTCAGGGTTTCTTGAGGACATCTGGTCGGTGCAATGACCGTTAATGCTTTGTAATTATGAGTGTCAGTTTGGATCTCGAGGATGTAGAGATTTATTAATAATCATGTCACAGCCACTCAACTCCTTATAAATGAGCTGTCTTTAAATGCCAGTCCCAATTGGTGTACTCGGCTCCTCTGAGCCATTACTCTTCGGCGCTATCTCTCGGCTCCTTTTGAACTCCATCGCGACTATATTTATCCACGTGTCAGTTTGGGAGCTGCTGAGCCAAGCTTATTTATCTTGAGCTAACCTCCAATTGAGCTGGCTTATGGTTAGGCTGGACTTTAAACCTTCTCGTACTATTGGGCTCCCCCTTTTGGGCGTAGTTTATCTTACTCTCGTCATGGGCATGTTGGTGCGATCCATTTGGGCCAATGTGCATGTAGGGGCCTCTTGGACTTTATTGCGCTTTTGATTATGGTGATTCATACTCAAAATTTCATCATTATCATCTAACAAGTACACAGTTAAAACGGATATAATGTTGTTAAACCAATTTTAAAGGGAATTGAGTCAATTAGCCGCAATTTTCTAAGCATATTATGGAATCCACTTCCACCTTCCGGAATGTTTTAGGAAATCCTAAAATGGGATTGCGGTAGATTGTGGAAACTTTTTTTGAAGGAGAAGTCTAGGCATACAATAGATCGATGACACTTGCACAAATCATACCCATTCAATGTAATGCCAATTACCATTGGTCTAAAGGTTGGATAAAATAAAAGCTTAAATGGACATGTTGTTTAATCCAATCCCATATAAATAGTTATTTAGTCTGTTGGTTAGTTTATTCATTTTGTGGAATAAGTAAACCCAGTGAAACAACATTCAATTCTTGTTTGGTGTACCAATTTTCAATGGGACTACACCTGGTTGAGCTTGTTTGCAATGATATTTAGAACATTTTTTTTTGTCTTGGAAAACTAGTGTAACAGCGCAAAATAGGGTGGAAGTTTTATATGAGTCATGAGGGAATTTTGAAGGAATATGAAGATAAATGATAAAAGTAATTTGGTTCGCAATAGTATTCAATTTCGTCGTATTTGATTTTTTGGGACATTTTGGAATTGAGACCTCAACTTCAAAATTAAAGATTATCGAATCAGAAAACATAGATTATCAAATCAGAAACACTTTGAGATACAGGATGTAGACAATATGCAATTCCTAAATCTATTTGCAANGAAAAAATGGTAGTGACGATAATAATAGTGACACACTAGTGGTGATAGTGACAGTGGATTGTGAGTACTGAAAAATTGAAAGTATAAAATGTATTGAGAGTATATTTGTCTATTATGAATAATTTATAAAATCTTTACTAACTAACATTTTCAATGTTAAGTGATAAGTAGATTACTTGATACTTAAAATTTTAACCTATTTTTAAGAAATGCTTAAAATATCAAGTAGTGTGAGCTTAAAGTACCAAACTGGTTTAATACATTAAGTATTTCAAATATTCAGTTTTAAATATTAAGTGGTGTTTGCTAAAAATAAAAATTGAATATTAAAAATTGAATGTTGAATTTTTAATTCGCAGACTGTTTGGTATCTATAAGAATTTAAATATTAAATTGAATCAAATTGTTTAACAAATATAAGGAGCTGAAGTCAAAAAATTATTCTTATTCTAATTTTACCGTTCTTTTTAACTATCTCACCGTAAATACCTTATTTCTATAACTACCATCACAATGGCGGTGGCGGTGGTGATAGTCATGGTGACAATGACAGAATAGTGGTGGTAGTGATGATGGTCACACAATGACAACGGCAGTAGTGGTGACACAATGATGGTAACAGTGATGATGGTGATGGCGATGACGGTGATGGTGACACAATGGTAGTCGTGATAGTGATTGTTATGGTGATAGTAACGAAACAGTAGTAACAACGGTGGTGGTGATGGAGGCGACAACAATGACAACACAAATGTGATAATAATAGAAAATGGTGAGTATTGAAAAGTTAAGAGTATAAAATACATTAAAGATATATTTGTCCATTATGAAAAATTTATAAATTTTTTACTTACTAATATTTTCAGTATTAAGTGGTAAATTTGTAATTTGCTACTTAAAATTTTAACCTATTTTTAACAAGTACTTAAACTATTAAATAATATAAATTTTAAGTTATCAAACGGATTTAATTCTTTGAATACTTAAAATATTCAATTTTAAATATTAAGTAGTGTTGTCAAACTGGCCCTAAACATTACCCTATTAATCAATCACGCCCATTTGTTTGATAGTGACCTGAATACTAGTTAAAATTCTCTGTTAATTCAATGTCTATGAAGAATTACATTAATAAACTAAATTAATAAATTCCGTTTAAAGAATATTGTTGTTACCTGTATTGATGTATGTAACTACTCCTCAATTCTGTGAATGGGGTGGGAGGACAAAACAGAATCAATCAGGGGGTCAAACACACCATGAACTCGTGTAATGGGCTGAATAAGCTAAAAGTAAAATTGAAATTTCCCTTTCTTGGACAAGACACAGCCTCCACCGGAAAAAATAACATAAGGGTTGTTTATCTTTGACCGCAAAGTATTTGAAACATACCAAATTTGAATCTTCTCTATTTCAAAGGTGGTCGATTTCGATCAATGACATTTGAATCATCTCCCGTGTCTGTCTTTTGATTAGACGGGAAACGAGATTAATCAAAATGCGCATAAACTGATTCAAACATTTATAACCGTTAAACTAAAAGAAAAAATTAAAATTGAAAAGATCCAGATCTAAACATAGCATATACCTCACCTTTTTTTCTTTGTTCTTTTTTCTTTTTTTCCTTTGGCAACAAGTAGCCCCTTGGAATCTATGACTTCACCCATGACATCGTATTTTGGATTTTTCACAGGGCATTACATCATAGGAGATTACACAACTCCTCATAGATAAGCCACGACCATATCGGTGAGAAGCTATAAAAAACAGCAATAATACACCCCCCCCC